GTCAGATTTAATTCACTCTTGTTTTGAGGTTTTGTGCCTTTTTTTTCATTCTTTGTGCGTTTATTTTCTCTTTAAGCCTTTCAGGACTCGTGCTGTGGCTTTTTCCTGTGTGTTATTAGTATTTTTAATTTCTAAACTTTTTAAAAGAAGGACCGATGGAACATTTATGTGAAAATAAACAGATCATTTAATGTTTTTGTCATCATTAAAAAATAAATCCTGGTCTTTCATTTTGCTGCTGCATTGTTCACAGAAACACATATTTTCCTGTTTCTTTCTGTTTGTGTGTTTCTGCTTTTGCCTGTTTAGCGCTGCTGAGCAGGAAAACCCAGACGAACAAAAACCTCTTTTAAGTAAATGTTTGAGTCACTTTGGGTCTGAACTGTAAAAAACTGCAGACTGAAACAGATTTGAAGGCATCACAGGAGCAGCCTCACATTCAAAACATGAAAGAAAGGACTTTTATTTTGAAACACTCAGGAAATGACAGATGGAAATTTTTTAATTAAAACAAATTATTATTTTATGCATTCTAAGTTCATACAACACCAAAACTGGATGATCCTCACATCAGCTTTACTGTGTGAGGTCACATACACGATCATTAATGTTACTATTATTATTATTATTATTATTATTATTATTATTATTATTATTATTATTATTAGAGACTTGCAGAGAGAAGAGGTGGAAACATTTTGATTTTCATAAATTTAACAGACTAAAAACCTACAAACATGTTTGGTGCTGAAGAAAAATGGAAACTATCAGAACATCAGAATAAAAAAGCTCAAACTGAAACTGTGGGGAGGTCTGAGTGAGACGCAGCAGAGCCCCACGGTGAGTGTCTGTCCGTGTCTGTGGAACAACAACGTTCGGATCACTTGCAGTCGCAGAGCAGCGCGGCGCCTCGCAGCGTCCAGGCTCGGGCGGCTGCAGGCTCCTCAGCTGCAGGGAGAAGATGAAGTTCAGGTCGGTGCGTCGAGGCTTCTTGTAGACGGGACACGAGTACAGGCTGACCGCCCCCCGCCCCAGGGGGACGCTTACTGTCGGCCTGTTGGCTGAGCTGACGGCGAAGACGTGGACCACAGGGAGGGGGGTGAAGAGGACCTGAGGGGCCGAGACAAACTTATTATTACTGAGCAAAAACAAAAATACTTTGATTTCATTTAGTTCCTAAATTGCTGACAAATTAATTATTATTTCATAATTTTTCAATAAATTAATCTTATAGATGTTTTTAAAAAATGTTTTTATGTTAATTTACAAAAAAATACAGAAACAGTAAAACATGGACTTTTGAACGCTGAAGTTTTTTAAAGCTTCAGTTTATTATTTTAATTTAAGTAAAAAAACACTGATTTTAAAAAGACAAACTTTGGGCGGAGCCTCAACGAGTTTGGCGCCACGTCTGTCCCATCCCGCTCCATCCAGAAAGAGGCCATAGATATAGACTCCACCCACATCTTCAGGGGGCGGAGCTGAGACGTCCTCCTTCATCATCTTGGTGACATCGTTGCTAAGGGTGACCGTGTCCAAGGCCCAGCCCCTGGACAGGTTGGAGCGTGTCGTCTCCTGGCGCATGGCGGTCAGGAAACCCTAAAGAAACAAAAAACATTCGGAAAGAAAACTGAAGAATTCCAAAACTCCAGATTTCCGGAACAACGAACCAACCTGCGGGTTGAAGAAGCCGGTGAGCCAGAACTGGTTGGGCCGGCCGGCGCTGATCCACGCGCTGAGCTGCTGGTTCCTCTCCAGCAGCTCGCTGAACCAGAAGCCGAGCGTGGCCGACGGCCAGCTGAGCCTCAGCCACAGGCGCGGGATCCGAGCATCGAACATGCTGTCGAGGGCGTCGCGCAGGTCTTCAGACATGATGATGGTCCCTGCAACGGCGGGAACACGAGTCAGATCGAGCGTCAGTGAACGTGTGTGTGTGTGTGTGCGTGTGACTGACCATCGATGGCCAGTCTGAGGTCAGTGAGCGTGCTCCGTACGCTGCTGATGACACGCTGCATTCGGTCCAACTCCTGTCGGAGGAAGATGTTCATTGGCTGAAGAGGACCCATCTTCTGGAGTTGACCTTTGACCTTCAAAACACACAGAGACGTCATGTTTCTCCAGAGGACTCATGAACGTGTTCGTGTTTGATGGTTCAGAGATGCCAGATTCTGCTGATGATTTAAAGTCTGAATTCATCTAAAAGAATCAGACGCTGACACGACACACAAAGATGCTAAAAGCCCCAAACATGAACCTGTGAGGTCATTAATGCCTGTGTGTGTGTGGGTGTACATGTTTACATGTCTTTGTGGGGACCAACATGCCCATCCCCACAAGTTTGAAGACATTTTTGGGACTCAGGATGTGGTTTTAGTGTCAGGGACAGTCGGGTCAGGGTTAGGCATTCAGTCTCAATGGTTAGAGTAAAAGGCTGAGGAGAGCACGATGTCAAATAGATGTCCCCACAAGAATATGAAAACACAACCGTGTGTGTGTGTTACTGTGAATTTGTGAGACAAGTGAAGATTTCAGAATCAGTGAGAAATGTTTCACTTCCTGTTGGTGAAGAAGAGCAGACTCCTCTTCAGCCACAGAAATGAAGAAGCTTTTATTTTGACGAGCTCAGCCACGAGCAGAGGCGACCCTGCAGAGGTGAAGGTCACAGTCAGAATCAGCGCCAGAGAAGCGCACGAGGACGGCCTCATTGGTCACGGCTGAGTTCACTATGTGATGGTAACAAGCTGATTATTACAGAACAGGAAACACACGTCTGCTCATCAAACACCAGCTGCTGCTGCTTTCATCAGTCTGCCAACAAAACCTCACAAGAAAGAAGTTTGTGTGAGTTTGCAGCGTTCCTCTAAACTGAAAACTAAAACAGACTGAAAATGGGAGCATGCAGCCACACTCGAGAGTCAGGCAGCTTAAATGTGTTTGTCTTCATCTGTAGTTACGTTTCATTGGCTGGAAATGTGCTAACTGGAATCATTCATGAGTCCAGATGAACAAAAACAAGTGTTTACTGCTCCACGCTGCACGAATCTGAGTCAAAATCACTCGGACGCGCCCACGTAGGCATTCCACTAAAACCACGTGACCACCTTTAAACCTGTCGTGAGTAATTTTAGACTTTTCACTTTATTTTGAAAGAACAGATTTGCAGGAAGTGCGGCTGCTGCAGAAACTCTTCACTTTTCACTGGCTTTAATCTTGAAGGTTTCTCCAGATGTGGAACATTCATGCTAAACATTCAACATCTGACGACCATCTCCGTGTAAAACACTGACAAACTCAAACTTTATACGGTAACTGACAGATTTATTCCTCCATTTTCAGGCTTTTCACAATGAACTTGGATTAGTTTGATGATTTTATTCACGTTGGTGAATAAAACCAGCCAAGAGGCTGATTCCTGCAGAGGAGGAGGCAGAGTGGAGGAATCTGCAGGTCTCTAACACACAACCAGAGCTTCAATCATAACGAGCACATAATAAAACCACGATCGACTCTTTCAGCCTGTTTCCTCTGAACAGGATCTAACAAACCCCAGCTTCTGCTGGGACATCATGGGAGGAAAAAGATGGCTGCCGTGTTGCTGTTTCCTGTCTTACACCAGGGTTATACTTCCTGTATCTGTTTTTAATCAGAGGATGAACTTAAAGCTTTCAGTCTGCTCTACAACCCACCACCCATCCACACGTCTGCTAAGTGACTGGAAATCAGTAAAACTTCTACCAGACTTTAGTAAATGTTGCATTAAGATGAGCAGACAGATTTTAATCTCAGCATCGCAGATTTTTCAGGACACTGGAAGAGTTCCTGCCGTGGATTTAGATGTTAGTGTTGTGTGGATGATCCCGTTCTGTGATCTTTGTGTTACTGATGCTTTTACACTTTAGGACCCTCGAGACCTCTGCTGCTCAGCCGTCCTGATCGCTGCCTCCACTTTAACCAGAGGCTGTAACCTCTGATCGTTTCACCTGCACCGACAGCAAAACTCTTCTCCAGAACCAAACGTGCCATAAACCCATCACAGCTTCATCATCAGCTCAGTCTCAGCAACATGCAGACGACCGAGCAGCAGAAACTCTGCAGGGAACGTCTGAAGTCTGTTCTTCAGTTTTCCCAGCTCACTGTTTATTGAACACGAGACAGAAAAATAACTTCTCTCGGGATTTGATGGTAAATGTCCGGAAGCACACTTGCTCTCAGGAGCCGGGTTTGATGTTCAGTCTGATTGGATCTGTTCTCTGCTCGCTTCCTTCAAGTGTTCAACACAAAATAATCTTTATTTTATTTTTTAATGAATCATTTATTCTTGTACAGCTACTCAAAAACCTTCCTCTCAGTGTGTCTCAGAAGTCCAAAGAAAGGGCCCAGATCTGGTTTTAGGACAGCTGCTTCATGTCGTACATCGGCACCTCAGATCCCTCCGCTCTGCCCTCGTCTTCGGCCGGCCTGGCAGCGTGAGGGCTGGTCTTGCGGCCCTTGGGAGGAGGGACGGGCAGAGCTCCTTCCGTGATGCCCTCGGCTCCCTCCTGGCCCTCTGCCACAGTCCTCTCCTTCTTCAGGTTGAGCTTGGCTGGGACACTCTTGGTGATGGTGTCCTTCAGCTTCTCTCCCGACTGCTTCAGCCTTTCGCCGGACTGGCGGATCTTCTCGCGCCTCTCAGCCGTCACGATGCGCTCGCCGAGTTTGTTCACCTTGGTGCCCAGGTTCTCGCGGGTCTTGCTCATGTTCTCCTTGGAGAAGGTGGCTTTGAAGCTCTCGATACGCGTCAGCCCCGTCTTCTTTATGCGGCTGGCTGCCGAGGAGTCGGCCTCCTCCACCACCATGTACTCCTCGTCCGACTCTGGAGGGAGCTCGAACTTGTCGGGCTCCACCTCGGCACTGGCCCGGGCCCCGCTGCTGCTGGGCTCCTCTGGCTCGTTTCCCGGGGCGACGGATTTCACCTCCTGGTCACCCTGAGAAACAGAGAGAGAGAGCAAAGAACAAGCTTGAAAACAAACCGATTCAATGGTCCATGTTTTTTGGTGGACAAAGTTCAGCAGTGATGTCAGATGTAATTGTGTCTTTGTATGAAGTGTGTCATGCAGACTTGTGCTGGGCCGTGATCCTGCATCCAGAAATAACCTGCAGCACCTGTTTCTGCAGCTCAGCGCGCGCCTGCAGGAAGCTAATATCAGCTAGCAGCGCAGAGCAACACGGGATCGCTTTCAGCTCCAGGCTGCGTCACGCCATGCATCTGTCTGTAACTCTGAGATCAGGTTACGCAGAAAAGCAGAGAGTGAAGCTACAGCTCCACAGTCCCACTCATTCATACTGGGAGCTGCCCAGTAAACCTGCAGTCTGACCCCACATAGCAAACACCAGCAGCAGGTGTGCTGCTTAAACCAGCCTCCAGTTCAATCAACTCAATGAAAACAGTCCAGATGAGACTGTTTATAATGTTGATCTGTAGTGATGTAGATGTGCTGTGAGCATCATGTGCAGCAGTTTGGACACCAGAGCGGAAAAGAGCCGATCAGGAAATCCGAGCCGCCATCCTGTCGTCTCAGGAAGCTGAAGTTCATACTTTGACGATGGGATCCATAAACGTTGGGCTCAAGTTACTTTGAAATGTCGCGTTCACTGAATGCAGATCACATGGAAATGAATCTAATGAGCAACATGATCCATGAAACATGGAATCCAATCTGATTACTTATGGAGGGTTTAAAAACAAACATCAAAGCTGAACTGATGTTACAAAATGTTCAGATTCTGAAAACTCTTTTTATATTCAGCTTTTACATTTGGTCCACTTTAATCAGTTACACGAACACTGTTATTGCCGTCACACTGTTTATTCCTCATCAGTCTGTTTGATGTTGTAAAAAAATGTTTTTCACGACATTTTTTAATGTTTCTGTTCCCAAACTGCTCAGACATCTTTGACTTATTTGTCTGAATAATGTGAATAATCCTGCAGTTAAACCCAAATGAACCTGTTACTTAACTTGTAGTTAGCATGCTAACAGAAGCATCACAGATGTGACACCTGATATGTTTGAGCTGACATTTCCACAGCTCTGATGAACACAGCACACTCAGAGCTGAGCTTCACAGCAGGAAGCAGCTAATGAACGGTAAAAACTCAGCCTCTAAATCGCTCTGATCATCCTGCTGTCGTCGGGTTCGTCTGTGCACAAACAGACTGTGAGGCTGTTTGATGCTGAACACACAGCAGTGACTGTGTGCAGCTTTCTGAGGTCATCTTTCCTGAGCTGAGACCAGGACTGAAACCCGAGCTGGATGGACTCGTCCAACAGCAAACAGTTTAACCATTTGACTCATTCTTTGTGGTTAAAAAAAGGAAACTCGGGGACCTCTCTGCTCTGCCAGACTGCAGGAGCAAGGGCCAAATATGGAGGGTCGAAGGCTATGAGCCCATCTGACCTCCTGACATGGGTTGTGTGCTGAGTCCCCACAGCTTTTGCTTCCACTGGGAGGATTTCCTCCATCAGTCTAACTGGGAGCAGGCAGCAGCTAATGAAATGGTTCATAGCCAGAGAGAGAATGAGGGAGGGCAGACAACTATATTAGGAGATGGAGGAGCTGCAGACTCAGAATAACCTGGTTTGTCAGCAGTCAGCTGGCTCAGTCACTTACAGTACAGCAGCTCTGTGAGCTCAACACGCTTCATTTTCTTCTTACTGCTGTGGAAAAGAAGCAGCTGGGAGGCGTTTCCTAAAGAGGCCTTGGTGGATGTGACTGCCTGCTGTGTAAAAGTCACAGCTCTACATGAGAGGGAACTCCACAGTCACAGTGTCGTTTATTTAGTCAGAGTGTGATCGTCACTCATTAAGTCTCTGAGAGCTTCAGGATGAGCACAACCACCAAACATCAGCGTTCGTCTAAGAACCGAGAACGTAGCATCACAGGATCTAAAAACTCGAGTTAATGTGAAAATTCACAAAACGTAAACAAACATGGAAGTCTTTCCTATTTCTGCTTCCATCCCACACGGCGCGATGTTTGCATTTCTGTGTGGCCTCACTGACGGGACTGCAACCTGACGCAGTAACAGAACCACGCCCTGCAGTCACCGCACTAGCTTACATGCTAACTTGAATGCTGAATTCACTGCGTCACTTAAAGTGAATGTTTTAATGTTTAACAAGTGCTTAAATCAGCTG